GCGCCCCAGTGGGGACCTCCACCCTGAAGGAGGTGTGGGCAGCCTGAAAACAGCCCTCAGCCCCTCACCCAGGCTGGCCAGGCACCCCAGTGGGGACTTCCACCCTGATCCAGGACACCCTTCAGGGCAAACCAGCCGGGCCCCACCAGTGCACCAGGCCTCTATCCTATATAGTAAAAGGGTAACATGCCTCCCAGCACCGGGATCAGCGGAGCCGAGAGGTCTCCCGGCACCGGGATCAGCGTGACAGGGGGCAGCGCCCAAACCCCCTAATCCCCCTGTGACTGTGTGTGTGACAGGGGGTGGGGCCACAACCTCCCTATCTGCACTGCTCTGTTCGTGACAGGGGAAGGCGCCCCAACCTCCTGATCAGCCCTGCTCTGTGCCTGATACGGGGGAGCTCCCCAACTTCTGATCGCCCTGCGGCTCTGTATGTGACGGGGTAGAGCCATAACCTCCTCATTGGCTCTGCCTAAGCCAGCAGGTCGTTGTCTCCCGAGGGGTCCCAGACTGCAAGAGGGCACAGGCCGGTCTGAGGGACCCCCCCTTCCCCTGAGTGCACAAATTTTTGTGCACCAGGCCTCTAGTCTAATTATAAATAAGAATGCCCTAACTTAACATTGCCCATCATATTTCTAATTCTTATGAAAATGATATATTGTAATAGCTATGTTATGTAAAAATCTAAATATGGATTTTTTAAATATGTATATAGGAATGAAGATCTAAAGCAAATGTTGGAGAGCAACAAAGATTCTGCTAAATTGGATGCTATGAAACGGATTGTTGGGGTAGGTAAAATAGATCATTTTAATTTTTGGAAAATGATGTACTAATTGTATTAAATACATATGTATATGTATATAATAGTATGATGAATATCAAATTGAACATGCCATTTGCTTTTCAGTATTAACTTAGACTTACCTGTAATCAATAAAGAAATTTAAAATAAATAAATAAATAAATAAACAAGTAAGCATTACCTGTCTAAAATGTTTTGGAAGAAATATTGAAGTGTTGAAATTCAGAAATTTGAGTTCTAATTTTATCTTTTCTGTGTTGATTTCCCTACCTCTTTATATCAAGATCTTTCTCATATGAGATAAAGAGAACTAATCATTTTCCACACAAGTAGATTTTATACAATATTTTGACTTCCTACAAAGAGGGATACTAATTAGCTAATGGATTTTTTGGTTTTTTGGGGGGTGTCATTTCATGACCCAAAAATTGTGAACATGCTTTCTTCTGTGTTTTATATTTTATTAACTCCAAAATAAATGTTTTATTCAATCCTATATAATAAAAGACTAATATGCAAATGGACTGAACAGCAGAGCAATCAGTTGCTATGATACGCACTGACCACCAGGGGGCAGATGCTCAATTAAGGACCTGCCCCTCGTGTTAGTGTGCTCCCACAGGGGTAGCGCAGCTCAGCCAGAAGCCCCGAGCCAGGCTCACGGCCATTGAGCACAGTGGTGGCAGGAGCCTCTCCCACCTCCGCAGCAGCGCTAAGGATGTCCTACTGCCAGCTTAGCAGGGACCGGGCCTAAGCTGTCAGTCGGACATGCCCCGAGAGCTCCTGGACTGCAAGAGAGTGCAGGCCAGGCTGAGGAACTCCCCCCCACACACACACAAATTTCGTGCACTGGGCCTCTAGTTTAGTAATATAGATCTTCTAATGATTATTAATAAACATTAAGAGAATTGCCCAGTTTTCACTCGTAATGCAAAATTTAAACAATTGGCTAATGTTAGTGGAGCTAAATAGATATAATACAATTCCTAATTATATATAAAATATTAATAAAATATTTTTGCAATTTGTATTGCACTTGCTGTCTTTTTGTTTGATTTTTTTTCCATTTAGAGTGAAAAAAAACTGGCTCAATTTAGTGACTATCTAATGCTAAATAGTTCTGATTTCGGTTCAATGGAATTAAATTCACAAAACTTGTATTTCTCATTGCCATTATACTTTTTATCACCACCATTGCTGATTTTATTTTCTACACATCTTTATATGATGAGGTCATAATGTAATAAATTTGTATAATTGCACAAATAAGCTATTGTAATAAGGTGATAACACCACTGCCACCATATGAGAGTTTGAAATTGTCTTTTAATATATCAAACTCCAAATTTCATTTATGAGAGATGATCATGGGTATCAGTATGTTCTGTTAAAAGGTGAGTTGTTTTGAAACTCCAAATATATAAAACTCAGTTGGTTGAGCATCGTCCTGTGTACTGAAAGGTTGCCAGTTTGATTCCTAAATCAGGGCACATACCATATAGTGCTCTCTTTTACCATTTCACATATTTGTTTAGTGTCCCTCACCCCCAATAGAAGGTAAGCTTCAATGGATAAGGACTTCCTATTGTCTTGGTTGTATCCCTAAGGCCTAGAATAATCCCTGGCATGTAGTATCCTCTCAGCAACTATTTATTGAATGAATTTGACTATATGGTATTTTTTCTTCTCGCAGGTATTAACATCCTTTTGAATAGCACACTATAGAATAAAGTCGACGAAGCCTTAGAACAGGATATAATAGGACAGGATCTCTGACTTGAAGTAATCATCGAATAACTGATGGGGTCCTAGAGAACATTCAGTCACTCCTTATTTTACAGATGAGGAAATTGAGAGAGGTTTAAAAATCATATACTAGTAAAGATGTTGTACCTGCAGTATTTTGTGAATATTCTGTAATACTCAGTCGATTTTATAAAATACTCAAATAACATCATAGGTCAGCAAATAGAATACGAAAAGACTAGCTGTGTTAGAGTGTTTTTTTTTGTGTGTGTGTATGTGGTAGAGTGTTTTAAAGCTGTGTTTTAGAAAGGTCTTCTGAGAATTTGCTACCTGGGATAGAAGGTTAGAACTCAGAAAAGTAAAAAGCATTGGGTTGGGGGCATGATATGAGCTTAGGCATAGAGGAGCCAGAGAATGTTCTGGTAGTGAGTAAGTAGATCAGTTTTCTTTGATAAAAATCACAATAGGTCCTAGTTATAAGAGAACAAGATAATTCTGTGTTTTTTGGCATAATTGTTTGATATGTTTGGTATAGTTTTTTGACATAATGTTTGGTATTACAGTTTTGAGGAAAAGTGGTAGAAATAGGAAATTCTAGCAGAGTACCATTTTATCATGAGAAATGAGTTTGGTTTTAGACATAGCAAGTTTGGGATCAGAGAGACATCTAATGATATCTAATTAGAGAAGTAGAACTAGGACTCAGAGTTAGAGCTTGAGTTTGTGGAAATGACCCCCATAGAGATTAGAGTTATGAGGGTGAATGAAATCTTTCTTAGCAGTTACAGAGAGTGTAGTGCATGTAACTTTGGTTGGCAGAGAAAGAGGACTTGGTGAAGGGAACTTTGAAAAGTAATGGTTGGAGGAGTCGGTGAACCTATGAAATAAAACCAAGGGGAAAATAATTATTTTGTTCAAAATATTTACATTGTCACACGAGCAATTGGTTGTTCTTTGTTCTTTGCTGCAAGATAGTTGGAATAAAATGACGCAGAAGGAGTTCAACTTGTTAATTCCATAGCTTATGTTCAGAGTCAGTCTTTTAAAATATTTAATGGGGAATTTACATTTTGTTTTCAAATGAATACTTTAAGAGAAGTTTCAGCCCTCATATTCCACTTTTATTCTTCAGATGATTGCAAAAGGGAAAAATGCATCTGAACTGTTTCCTGCTGTTGTGAAGAATGTGGCCAGTAAAAATATTGAGGTACTGTTTTGGTTCATAATTTTCATGATTTTCTTTTTAGGAAAAGAATAATATGCTTTCACTTAAAATGCACCATAAGATATTTAAGTATCACTAGATTTTTGCTGATTCTGAGGAAGGTATGTTTACTCAGTAGGAAGTAGTGATATCTGCATAAAATTCAAAATGCCAGCACACATGCTTCCTATTTGTGCATTGTTAGCAACTGTGAGCATCAAGGAGTATGCCTGGTCCTCCTTTTGAGTCTGGGAAGTTTAGGAGAAAGAACAGTCTCCACTGAAGAATATTTTCAACGACCTGGTTTCATTGGGGCAGATGTTTTAGGTGGACATAAATGGAGTATAACAGGTAGAAATTAAGGATATAGGAAGTTTTTTTCCCCTTATAATCAAGTATTATTAATATCCTTAAAGTTGTATTATTTATGTATTCAGTAGGTGTTTATAAGTATTTTCAGTCTTTGTTTTGTGTATGTATTCAGTAGGTGTTTAGTCTTGGGTATACAGTGTACATCTTTAACTTATTACAGTTTGCCACTAAGTACAATATACATCTTTAAGTTACCACTATCTATTTTCAAGTGATATTATACACTACTCTCCCCCCTTCCTGCCCCTGTGGATGCCTGAAACCTCAGATAGCACCAAATCCTATATATGCTGTATTTTTTTCTATACGTACATACCTATGATAAAGTTTAATTAGGCACAGTAGGAGATTAACTGCAATAACTAATAGTACATATAATAGAGCATCTTTAACAATATACTGTAATAAAAGTTAAGTGAATGACTTTGGGGTCATTATTAAGTGAAATAAGGATTACTTGAACATAAGCACTGTTGTTGATACTTCAACAGTTAGTCTGATAACTCGCTGTGACTGCAGTGTGCATAAGCTGGATAAAGGGATGATTTCACATCCTGGGTGGGACTGAGTGGGTTGGCATGAGATTTCATTACACTACTCAGAGTGGCTTACAATTTAAAACTTATAAATTGCCTATTTCTGGAGTTTTCCACTTAATATTTTCTGGATCATCCTAGGGGTTATCTTTTCATTTCCTTAATGGTGTCCTTTGAAGCAATTTTTAATTTTTATGAATTTCAGTTTATCTAGTTTTTCTTTGTTTGCTTAAGCTTTAGTTATCATATCTAAGAAACTGATGTTAAGGTCATGAAGATTTATACTTGTCTTTTTCCAAATAATTTTAAATGCTTTTATATAAAGGACTGCAATCCATTTTGAGTTCATTTTTGTGTATGGTGTTACCTGTTTTTTTTGTCACTATAATTTTGCTGTTCTAGAATTTCTTAATATATCGAATTATACAGTATGGAATCTTGTGTTTGACTTATTTTACTTAGGAAACTGATTAAGCTATGCTGTTTTGTGTATTCCCATTTTGTTTCTTTTTGCTGTAATCTGGGTATCTCACAGTTTTAACATTTATCAGTTGAAACATAATTGGATTGAATTAAATGCTCTGTGTGGATATATATTCTAACTTTACTTGTGTAAATATCTGGGAATAGGTTTGTTACATTGTCTGGGAAGTATATGTTTAATTTTTAGAAAATAGTGCAGTGGCTGTATGCATTCCAACCAGCAATATATGAAGAGCTCCAGTTAGTCTGCATCCATTCCAACACTTGATCTTGGTAGACTTTATGGTAACTTCATTGTGCTTTTAATTGCAGCTTTCTGGATATTTAGTGATGCTCAGCATATTTTCATGATCTTAATAGTCAGTCATATATCTTCTTTTCTAAAATATTTGTTCACCCTTCTGGGGGCTCAGTTGGTTGGCGCATCATCCCGAGCACCAAAAGGTGGCAGGTTCGATTTCCGGTCAGGACACATAACTAGGTTTTTTAAAAATCATTTGATTTTGATGAAGTCCATTTTATTGATTTTTTTCAGTGATAATTCAGGCCATTTTGTGACCTGTTTAAGAAATTTTTGCCTAACTGAATCTCACAAAGATTCCTCCTAGTTTTTTCTAAAAGTTTAATAGTTTTGCCCTAGCTGGTTTGGCTCAGTGGATAGAGCGTTGGCCTGAAGGGTTCTGGGTTTGATTTTGGTCAAGGGCACATGCCTGGTTTTCAAGGTTGTTCCCCATTAGGGGGTGTGCAGGAGGCAGCCAATCTGATTCTCTCTCTTCATTGATGCTTCTGTCTCTCTCTCCCTCTCCCTTCCTCTCTGCAATCAATAAAAATATATATTAAAAAATAAAAATAAAAGTTTAATAGTTTCCTCTATGACATTTAGATCTATGATTCATGTCATGGTGGGGTTTCTAAGACGCCCCACAGATTTGATGATTCATTGGGAAGATTCATAGGAATCAGGATGTAGTCGCACTCATAGTTTTGATTGATTAAAGAAAGATACATAACAAAAGGTGGTACCAAAAGAGATGCATAGGACGAAGTCTAGAGGAAACCAGATGCAAACTTCCAAGAACCCTTTTCTAGTGATTTTCCCACTGACAATCGGTTCTTTCAGCATCAGTTGTAATAAAATGTGTGAAGTATTGTCTACTAGGAAAGCTCATTAGAGACTTAGTGCCCAAGTCTTTCAGTGAGGGTTGTTCATGTAAGCATTAACTGCTTAGCATATACCAAAATTCCAGACTCCCAGAAAGAGAGCAGATATTAGCGCAAACCATATTGTTTATGTGTATACCACACTTATTAGTTAGGGAATGAGGAAATACCTCTAAAATTGAAATTCCCAGATACCAGTCAGGCCCAAATTGTAAGCAGACTTTCTGTGGTGGGAGGTTAAGATTTGAGATACCCCCAACCCCCCGCCCTGCCCCCGGGCCCCCAGATACTGAGTTATTCTGGTATCAATTATTAAGAACACGGTATCTTTTCCCCATTGAATTACCTTTCCATTTTTGTGAAAAATCCTTGATTATATTTTTGAACTTTTTTCTATTTCATTGACCTATCTGTGAGTATATTTTTGAACTTTTTCTGTTTCATTGATCTATCTGTATGTCCTTATTTCTGAGCTCTTGGACTGTTCTGTCTGATAAGAATATTTTACAAGACTGGGGTCTTGAGCCATGGTATACCAGTTTGTCCAATCATTTACACTAAACATGTGATTTATGGTGAAAATTTGCTTTCTTTCTATGCTCAGGAGCCTTAGTTACTAATGCCATAGATACTGATGATCGTGTATGTGGGTTAGACATACAACACCTATATGATCCCTAAAAAAAGCCTGGACAGTCTGTCTTACAAAGCTCTGCTGGTGGTCAGCTCTTTATACATGTTTTTTTTAAAAAATATATTTTATTGATTTTTTACAGAGAGGAAGGGAGAGGTATAGAGAGCTAGAAACATTGATGTGAGAGAAACATCGATCAGCTGCCTCCTGCACACTTCCCGCTGGGGATGTGCCCGCAACCAAGGTACATGCCCTTGACCAGAATCGAACCCAGGATCCTTGAGTCCGCAGGCCGACGCTCCATCCACTGAACCAAACCGGTTAGGGCTGTACATGTTTTTTATACTTCGTTGCTGAAGGAATTAAGCAGGTCTTAGGTGAACTCCACTAGCAGAAGAGATCTTGGAAACTTGAACTTTTATCCCATGTGCTATTTCCTTTGGCTGATTTTACTTTTGCTCTAATAAACTGTAACCCTGAGTATAACAACTTTCTGAGCCCTTGGAGTTCTTCTAGCGATCCATCAAGCCTTAAGATAGTCTTGTGGACTTCCAACACAGGACTATTTCAAATTTCTATTTCTTCTTGGATCTGTGTTGGTAATTTGTCATTCAAGAAATTTATTCATTTCATCTAGGTTGTTAGTTTATTTGCATAAAGTTGTTAACATTCTCCAGTCCATGAGACAAGGTAGCAGAGGTTAAATTATCTGACCAAGGTCTCACAACTCGTATGTGGAACATTAAGAGTCTAAAGCTAAGTAAGTTGGCTTCAGAACCAATCTTAGACCATTCCCCTTTTAGAGCCATCCTTTCTGTTTGATGATTCCTTCCTCCTTTTTACACCTTAGTTCGATCTCTAATTAATATCTAGTATTAGCTGTCCTTTGGGAGGTATCTGGCATTGGTATAAATTTTTTGTTTTAAATGTGGGTAGAAATGACCACATCCTTCCTTAGAAATCTGTAGTCAATAAACTAGTTCTCCTTGAACTTGTAGTCTTCTTGTTGTAAACAGAAAATTCTGTTCTAGTTATTGTTTATTCAAAGTTGTTTGTACTTTTCAGATAGTTATAATAGTTCAGCGGTTCTCAACCTGTGGGTCGCGACCCCTTTGGCGGTCGAACGACCCTTTCACAGGGGTTGCCTAAGACCATCCTGTATATCAGATATTTACATTATGATTCATAACAGTAGCAACATTACAATTATGAAGTAGCAACGAAAATAATTTTATGGTTGGGTCACAACATGAGGAACTGTATTTAAAGCAACAAAATGTCACTATAAGCATAATTACTAGTCTATTTGTTTGAATTTCTTTTGTTATTGAAATACTTGGTTATTTTTGAAACATGCTTAATCCTCTAATGTTGTGTGGAAACTGACTTAAACTTCTTAAGAGGATTGATGTTTTATTGCTATCAAGGGCAAAATTCATTTTTATAAGTACCTGCTGCCTTAGACACACAGTTGAGCTATACGTCATCTGCCATTTGATGTTAAATGATGCCAAAAGTGACCTAGTAAGCAATCGGTGGTTATAGTACAAAAATAATCAAAGGTTTAGTCAATAACTCATGAAGTTTGATGTACTAGTATTGATAAACTAATTAAACAGATCTGCCTGTGTTCTTCCAGCCTACTGGGGCTCTGCTATGATTAGCTTTACAGCAAGGAGTGTTGTAACATTGAATGAAAGTAACTGATCAGAAAACGGTGTAGTCACGGAGCTTTAAGTACTCCCATTTCTGGTCACAGAATGGTTTCAGGGAAAGTTGGTTTTCTCTGCACACCTGCAGCCAGTCAGTGCATAGGCCTCTTGTGGTCAATATTGATTGATTCTTATAACAGAACTAGAACAAATTTAGTGTTTTGCAACCTTCTGTGATTTAATATTGTTATGCTTTTTGCTGTAACAGTCACAGAATCCTTCTGTAATAGTGGATAATTATAGCAATACCTACTAGCTCAGCTGTGGTCCTGAATGTTTCAGTGTTGCCAATATAAACCTCTGGATATATTCTGGAGTTTATAATTCACCTTTAAAAGTTGGCTATACCAGTTATTTGGTAAATAAAGGTGTAAACTAAGAAATCACAAGAGGATGAGGGAATAGGTGGACTCTAACCCATTCTTTTAAAACCTTCCAGAAAACTGTAGACTGAAGTCTGAATATACTTAGTTAGGAGAAAGAATACTAGTATTTAAGTGATTAATTTTTTCAAACCCTACAAGTTAAAGGCTTTAGAGGCAATCTTTATAATACCTATCATTTCTTCACAGTATGTTGGTGTCCTCCTAGACATCTGAAAAGATATGAATTATAACCATTGGTGGTAAGTTAGACCCTAGATGTAGCAATCTAATGGGAAATGTCTTAATTTTTTTCAGTCTACCATTGGACTGTGATGTTTCATCAGCTGATAATTATTGAGCTCTTACTATATGCCAGGCATTGTGAAAGGTACATTGATAGGTACTGGAAATATAGAGATAAGTAAGGAATGATTTCTGTGCTAAGTAACCTCGTGTTCATTCCAAAGCTGATTTGAGAAACAGTCTTACGTAAATACGTCTTGTGTATTGAAATTGCTATATATAAATTAGTCAGCCTACAAATGTTAATTGCTTTTTGACACTGTTGTAATCTTAGGAACTTTAAAATCTGGCTGGGGAGAAAATTGTCTATACCTCAGACAATTAAATGAATGCTTCTTAAACTGTAATTTAAGAATTTTTAAAACATTTTCATTTTAAACAATCTAAAACATTGGGTATATTTTGGATCATTTGGTTGCCATCTTATATACTTCTATACACATAATTTTGGAACCCATTTGTATTTTTGTGTAAGATCATTTGTTCTAAGGGATTATTTAAAGGGTTCATAAAAAAATAAAAAGGTTCATAGTCTTTCAGGGGCCTAAGTGGGTTAATAACATATGTAGATGTGAGATCACCTGGGTGAGACTGCCATTGATTGATTGGCATTCAGAGGTGTGGTTATTTTTAGGAGTGAGTTTGTTTTTGATTGGCTAATGCTTAGAAGCAAGAGCTGTAATAGATTGGTTGACTTGCAAAAGTTTGTTCATTTAGCAAGTTTTATTAATAATGATGTAGAAAGTATGCTCATTAAGTTTTCACTTATGCTAATAAAATTTTAAAGAGCAGAAAAATAGGTCAGATTACAAATTAAGGTCTAAAAATTATCTTAGGATGCTGTGACGGGTTGAATTTAAGTTGTTGAACATTTCTATAGGTAAATGTAAGATCTTTCCCTTCCTTTAAAAGAAAAAAACCTCACCAGGACAGTTTTCAAGTATGGCTTAATTTAGTCAGTAGAACGTTTGGAAAAGGTGTGTTGTCATAATTAAGAATTAGTTGTATCACTGGAAGCACCTCATCTGGAACAAAGTCTTAACTAGTTTATTCTTAACCTTCACTTGTAGTTTAGAATGTCATACTGGAAGAAATATAGACAAATTGGAGTGGTTCAGAGGGAGCAAAAGGATGGTAATGGAACTCAAAAACTAGGCTGTGTCAAGGGAAATTGGAGTGGGAAGATAGGGAGGCCGTGCAGTTGTCTTTAAAGTAATCCAGATTAGTTAGTATGATATAAAATGTGGCCCAGTGTAGCACTGATTTTCCTTTTCAGCATCAATTTCAGCTATTTTTAACGACTTTCATTCATTTCCCATGCTCTCTGAACATTCCATAAACTTTTAGGTATGCACTATACTGATAGATAGGGAAATTAATCAGGCAGTGGTATCTGAAGATATTTGAAAGGGAGATACAGGCTATGAGCAGTGCCAGAAGGAGGCAATTGATGGATTTCAACTCAAATTCTAATTTTCATTTAATTTTTCTGTTTATCATAGTTTTGTTATAAATTAATTAAATTGCCTTTAAAAACATTTTTCTGAACACACTTCCATCCTTTGGCATTTTTGTCACATGTTATTTTTACTGAGCTGAAGATATTATGTAACATATATTAGAATGTGAATATTACCATAGAAATAGATTTGGAGCTTCAGCACTTTATGACAGGTGAGGAAACATAATGTACCATACCATATGATTAGTGGGCGGAACCCAAGATCTTTGTATTATTTGTATCCCTCATTTTGAAACTATTTTTGTAGTTCAGTTAATATTTGAATATTCTTTTAAGTTTTGCTCAGGGATGTTTTTTTCCCCTTGAGAGGAAGAACACCTTGATAGGATGTTATTATTATAGGTTGGATTATTAAAATTCCTATTTCACAAGCTTTTTCTGTTACCATTCATTATCGCAGGCCGATATATATAGGGTGTGGCAAAAGTAGGTTTAAAGTTGTGAGTACACGAAAATGTAATTCTTGTATTACTATTTATTAATTATTGTATTATTTTCTGTGTGAAACTATAAACCTACTTTTAACCCACCTAATATTCATCTTTATTTTATAATCTAAGCTATGACCAGGCTCAGTTATTTACTTCAAGAAAATTAAGAATGGATTTTGGTATAGAAAATACTGAATTTTTAATTTTCACTCTGGCTAGGATTAAATGATTTTTTTTTTTTTAACAGATCAAGAAGTTAGTATATGTTTACCTGGTTCGATATGCTGAAGAACAGCAGGATCTGGCACTCCTGTCCATAAGTACTTTTCAGCGAGCTCTGAAGGTAAATAATAGAGTGAGCAGGCAAATAGCTACAAGGTTTCTGCACAGTTGAAGATGTGTTATTTAAAGGAGTGGAGCAATAATTCACTAAATGGCGCAGTAGTGTTTTGAAAGAGTTAAAAGGCCTCTCACAGTGCCTATTCAATACCCTTAGAAAATAATTTATATAACCAACTGGACCATGCCCTGTATGTTTCAGTTTGTGTTTAGTATAATCATTATCATACATCAGAGAACTCTTCATCATTATACTAACTAGTTGAAAGTGTACAAAGAGGGAACATGACTTTTTAAAGTTAAAATTTATGACCTGTACCATTTTATTATTATGAAACTCAAAACCTAGTATGTTTAGTAATAAATGATCAAAAGAATTATAACCATTACTTTTCTTATTAAAACATTATTCAGATAAACATTTATTAATCCTCTTTTTACCAATTTCCATATACTGATTATTTATTGTAAATTAAGTAGCTTTCCCCCTGCTATTTTTACATTGCACCCTATAAGCATCTATTAACTGTGTCATAAAGATGTCTTTGAAATATTGTAAACTTGAAATTTTGATGAATATTTTTGCATAATTTTTAGGACCCAAATCAGCTAATTCGTGCAAGTGCTTTGAGAGTTCTGTCAAGTATTAGAGTGCCAATTATTGTACCTATTATGATGCTCGCTATTAAGGAAGCTTCTGCTGACTTATCACCATATGTTAGGAAGAATGCAGCCCATGCAATACAAAAATTGTACAGGTAGGTGCCTTGTTAATGCCAACGATTTCTAATATTATATGGAATGCTATATAATCTGTGGAGGCTTATTTTTTTTTTAGCTCTTGTAACTCTGTTCTTATACTAAGTAATCATTTGAAAGAGTTAAAAGAGTGACTATGTTTTTCCCACCACAAAAATTCTTTAGACATCTTGTTTAGGTTATAGAAACCCTACACAGGTTTTTACTTGTGAGCCTATTAAGGCCTGTAACATAGATCTATAGATTTTATAACTTAAAAATAATCAGAATTTGAATTCTCATTTATATGATCTACCTCTCATGTACACATACACATATTATTATTTTCAGTTTATTGTAGGGTAGGAATCATAAGTATGTAATCTTCTCAACTCACTTTGTTTCCCTTTCTTCATCTTTGGTCCTGCAGTTTCCTTCCTTGTCTGATTCTTTCCCAGAGCTATTTTAGTAAATAATTTTTTTAATATAGCCCCATACCATATTTCTATGATACTTATTAAAATACCATACATTTCTTGATCGCTGTGGTAAACATATTGCTTAAGTAAAAATAATACTATCTGCAATAATTTGGTATTATTTTCTGTTACCATTAATTCCACAACCTTTTGTTAATATTATTTTGGTTCTTGATGTTGTGAAATATGTATAAAATGTATGAAAAAAGTAGAAGATGTATTATCATATACTTGAGAAAAAAATCAAACATATGCCAAATAATTAAAGGCAGTCTATAATTGAATATGGTATTGAGAAATGAGATATATATATATATATACACACACATACACATACACACACACACACACACACACAAAGGTACACTAACAATACCTGTAATAGGATAGGGCTCAGAGATTATCATATGGGGTTTCATAATGAAATGGCATTAATTGGGAAAGACTTCTTGGAGAAGGGAAACTGGCGCTGAAATTTGAAAGAATTAAAAGGTTTGAATGTTCAGATAATTATAATAATAATAAACATATAAAAATAAATATTAAAAAATAAAAACTCATTTTCTTAGGTTAATTGTCAAAGTTATATCATGCTTCTCACTCATTATCTTGTTTATAAACTTGCAGAATAAGATTGAAACTCACTGTGATGGTTTAAAAGTTTATCACTGGGCTCCATTTTCTCTCTCCCCTTCAACTCTTACTCTTCTTCCCTTGAATTTACAGTCTACTAGCTCACTACTGCCTGTTAGTCCTCTACATAAAATGTTTTTATCTCATCACCATCTCTTTTTCCTCCTTCAGTCTCTACCTGGAAAATTTCCTCCTTACTCCAGCTCTAAAGTCAATTGTTTAAGCTTCTTCTGAGATATCACTTCCTTAAGAAACCCTCCACAACCCTCCTGTCTCCATTGGTGCCCTTCCTCTTTATCCACATAATCCCTTACACATATCTCTGTTATATAGTGTGTTTATATTTGGCACTGTCTTTACTAACTTCGGCTTATTTTTTTCTCTTTTTAAAAGGAATATATTTTTGTTGATTTTAGAGAGGCAGGGAGAGGGAGAGAGAGATAGAAACATCAATGATCAGAGAGAATAATTGACCAGCCGCCTCCTGCACACCCCACACTGGAGATGGAGCCTGCAACCGGGGCATGTGCCCTGACTGGCAATTGAACCTTTACCTCTGGTTCATAGGTCGATGTTCAAACACTGAACTACCCTGGCCAGGGTTTGTTGATTTTAGAGAGGCAGGGAGAGGGGGAGAGAGATAGAAACATCAATGATCAGAGAGAATAATTGACCAGCCGCCTCCTGCACACCCCACACTGGAGATGGAGCCTGCAACCGGGGCATGTGCCCTGACTGGCAATTGAACCTTTACCTCTGGTTCATAGGTCGATGTTCAACCACTGAGCTACCCTGGCCAGGCTAACTTCTGCTTATTTATCTTTGTATATCTATTTTTAGCTTCTCGGTGAATGAACAACAATAGAATTCCATGCTAGGAAGAAATTATATTGTCAACGTTTTAGTGATTAGAGCTGCTATTAAGATGCATTTCTTAATTCTGTACATATGTAAACTTTTGCTTATATTTTTTGGTTTTAGATGGCAGGTTTTATAGTATATGTTTCCATCAGTGAACTAGAATGCTACAAAATACTTATTTGGAAATTCTGTATATTTGTCTTGACAATTATGTATCAATAATAGAAAATGATTGCTATCCTGTTATTTTCCCCTTTAGTTACAAAAATAATTTGTGGTTTATCTATTTGTAATTACTTTGTTAATGTTTTCTAATTTTTTTTAATGAAGGGAACTTGTTCTTTTTTAAAAAAATAGATTTCTTCATTGATTTCAGAGAGGAAGGGAAAGGGAGAGAGAGAAACATCAATGATGAGAGAGAATCATTGATCGGTTGCCTCCTGCAAGCATCCTACTGGGGATCGAGCCTGCAACCCAGGCATGTGCCCTTGGCCGGACTCGAACCTTGGGACCCTTCAGTCTGCACACTGATGCTCTATCCACTGAGCCAAACCAGCTAGGGCGAACTTGTTCTTTAAATACTTTCTTAATGGTATTGGTATCTGAGTTTAATTAATATGAGCAACTTTAGAGAGAAAGAATAGGTCACATTTGGAAGAAAAAGCATCCCATTTTACATTAAATTCATTTTTTAATTCTTCTTATCTTTACATAATTCTCGCTTTCCCCTCCCTCTTCAAATATTTTTGAAATGGGTAGCTTCATATAAAGTTAGAATTAAAGGAAAAATTTTAATGTATGTTCTTTTCTCTTTATGGTTTAGCCTTGATCCAGAGCAGAAGGAAATGTTAATTGAAGTTATTGAAAAACTTTTGAAGGATAAAAGCACAGTAAGTAATATATTCTTATGTTTGAGTACAATTATATTTTACTTACAGAGTATCATTTTACTGTTGTATATTTGATGTAATTATTCTTATTGATTTTTGAATGGTATAAAAGTAAACATTACAATCTTTGAAGAATAAAAGTATCCATATAAAGGGAAGGATTGCATTTAAAATTATTTTTTTAACAATACGGTGGTGAAGGCCTGGGGTGGGCTAGAAGGGGTCAATGGAGGGAAAAGGAGATATATGTAATACTTTTAACAATTAAGATTTTAAAAAAACTTAATTTTCATTTGTTACATGTTTCTTCATTAGAATCTGAAGAAGAGCAAGTTGATAAAAAATGTTTTCTTTAATCTGTGGCTAAATTGTTGACTGCTTTTAGTGCCAAAGTTTTTATTTCAAGCAATGATTTATTAGAGTTTTTAAAGGCTGAATCACCTGGGAACAAATAATTATTTTAAAATAAAGTTTTAAAAAGTATTAGAGATATTGAAAAATTAGAAAAGTGTGTTTCAGTATTAGAATTTTTTAAAAAATAACTGAACATTTCATATGTACAAGATTTTTATTAACTGGTAAGAATGATCTTACTGGCTAATATGAGTCATGTTTTAGGAATGTACATAATCCTGCCTTCTTTCTTTTTCACTCCTATTCTCTGTGTGTAGTGATAATGAAATCTAGGAATAGTGATGAACCATGGATTCTGTGAGCAGACCTCTGGAGGAGCTGATAAAATGGTTTCTTTGATGGAGGCCTCTGCTCCCACCTATATGGCTCTACTATTGAGGAAAAGTCTGCCAGCTCATTTTAGGATAATATCAGCAGCTATCCAAATACAGTAGCTACTAGCCCCTTATAGCTATTGTCGATTGGTGTAGTGCAGTGATGGCGAACCTTTTGAGTTCGGCCTGTCAGCATTTTGAAAAACCCTAAATTAACTCTGGTGCCGTGTCACATATAGAAATTTTTTGATATTTGCAACCATAGTAAAACAAAGATTTATATTTTATATTTATTTTATATATTTAAATGCCATTTAACAGAGAAAAATCAACCAAAAAATGAGCATGCGTGTCACCTCTGACATTCATGTCATAGGTTCGCCATTACTGGTGTAGTGTATGATTTATCATGGAGAATATTCAATTTGCACTTGAGAAGAATGTGTATTCTGTTGTTGGGTGGAATGTTTTATGTTCAAGTGTTTTATGTCTGTTAGGCCTAATTAGTTTATAGTATTGTTCAAGTCTTCTGTTTCTTTGATTTTCTGCCTGGTAGTTTTATCCATTATTGAAATTGGAGTATTGAAGTCTACTGGTATTACTGTAGAACTATCTATTTCTTTTTTTAATTCTGTCAGTATCTACTTCATATATTTAGGTGCTCTGATGTTTGGTGCATCTATGTTTATAATTGTTTTTTTCTTTTGTCATTATAAAATGTCAATTTATCTCTAGTAATACTTTTTGTTTTAAAGTCTATTTATAAGTACAGCCACTCCAGCTTTTTTATGGTAGCTGTTTACATGATACATCTTTTTTCTTGCTTTTACTGTCAACCTGTTGGTATTTTTTAATTTAATGTGTATCTCCTGTAGACAGCATATAGTTGGATTTTGTTTTTTAATTCAGTTTTGAATATGTGCTTTTTGCTTAGATTACTTAATCCATTCACATTTAATGTTATTATTGATATAGTTGAATTTAAAGCTATTTTACTTGTTTTTGGTTCTTCATTCCTTCTTTACTGCTTTGTTTTTATATTAAGTGATTATGTTCTGTTGAACATTTTAATTCCTTTAATGAGGTTTTCAACATATATTTTTTAAAATATTGTATTATACATGAGATTATACATGGAGGTTTTATTCCTAGGTCATCCAGCAAATTTCTTTTAACCTGTGATGTAGCAGGAATCTGCAATGTATTTCTTCTATAATATTTGGTATAATGTAAGAGATAAACATGTATAGTTTTGCTTAATAAATAAATTTATTTCAAAGATAACAGAAAATCCTCAGGGTCAGCATGTTACTTAATGCAGACATATTATAGGCATTTCCTTAAGATTGACACAAGGCAAGGATATCCACCTTCTCCACTACTATTAAAAATTGTACTTGTTTTAAAGTCTACGACTTGGCTCAGTGGATAGAGCGTCGGCTTGCGGACTGAAAGGTCCCAGGTTCGATTCCGGTCAAGGGCATATACCTGGGTTGCGGGCACATCCCCAGTGGGGAGTGTGCAGGAGGCAGCTGATCGATGTTTCTCTCTCATTGATGTTTCTAACTCTCTATCTCTCTCCCTTCCTCTCTGTAAAAAATCAATAAAATATATTTTAAAAAAAATTGTACTAAAGGTATAAGCCAATCTAATTATACAAGAAAAATTAGTCATAGGAATTAGAAAAAAGGAAGTACAACAACTTCTCTTTGCAGATGATATTCATTTTCTAGAATAAACCATGAAGAATGAAGAACAAAACTAAATCAAACAAAAAAAGAGTTCATAAAGAAGCAGGTTATAGAATTACCATACAGAAAATCAATAGCTTTCTTATATGCCAATGTAGCAAGTTCAATTATATAGCGATAAAGCAATTTCAATTTATAATAGCATAAAAGTAAGACCAAGGTAAAATGCAGCTCTAAACCACTGCTTAACTCAGTTGTCTCCATCTTACTACTCCCCACAGAGGTACATTAGCAATTCTGAAACAACACTTGCTCTGCATTCTGGAACAGAGCTAATAACTAAATATACTGTGGATAGTGTGAGCCACATTTCTTAATGTTGGGCACTTTGCAATTTAATCATCATGTCTGATTTTTTTCTGTTTCTTACCTGTTTTCCATCAACTCTGGCTTTATTTCTGATGTCTCTTGTTCATTTCTGTTCTCTGTTTTTGAATTTCTGTTTCATGTAATTTTTCCATTCTGCAAATGCTGCTTTGAGAGTGCTTATTCATTTGGAGTGTTGTGTTAGTTTTCTTTTGCTTCATCATTGATTATTTTGTGGGTAATTTTCATCAGTTGAATTGTTTTGATTTTCTGTTTTTAGTACTTACAGATTACTTGCATCTTTACTTTTTTTTTTTTAAACAGGGTTGGTGATATGAGTTTGAGGAACTTTGCAAAATTCCTAGTATAAGAGCACTCTCTGTCAGAATAGTGGAATAGCAAAGGATGTTTTTTTAAAAAATTAGGTGGCTTTTTTTGTTTTGTTTTTGCTTTTTTATGGGAAGGGCATCCATAGAAAGGGATATATGTCCTAAGATTATTTTGATTATTATTATTTTTTACTTCTAAGAGCCTGAATTTTTTCCTCTTTTTTTTCTTCTGTCACCTTACAGTTCCTAAGGTGCTCCTTTTCCTCGACTCTGTAAAGCATCCTTCCTCATAATCTGCATTGATTCACCAGGAATCATTTGCAGTATTTTCACACTTAGGGTTCTCTTTCTGCTGTTGCCATTATACCTACCACCAACTCCTGTCTGCTTTCTTCTGGGCAATTTTATCAGACTGACATAGGTCTCTGTGAAGTTTTTTGACATAAGCATGAAAGATAACTCTTTGATATTGACTTTTCTATTTACATGAAATTTGAAGTTTGGAGCTTCTCTGAGATTTAATTATACTTAGGACATAGGTTTACATCTTTAGTTTTTCTGGATTTGGAATGGAAAATTCAGATCTACCCAGGTTTTAGTAGTATTTAAATTAGTTTTGAGAATGTCTTCTGATTTTTTTCCTTTGTATGATTATAATCTCTTATAGATAGAATGAAAATACTCTGAGATCTATACAGATATTTATGGATCTTATCTTTGTTACTACTTTTGCTTGTTGCATGTAATACTTCATTGAAGGAAGACAGCTATATTTCTTCTTTCCCCCAAATTAATAATGTCAGCATTGACATTTAAAATCAATAAGAATTCTGCCCTGGCTGGTTTTGTTCAGTGGTTAGACATCAGCCCACAGATCATAGGGTTGTGGGCCTGATTCCCAGCCCAGGGCATTTTACCTGGGTTGCAGGTCCACCAACCCCAGTAGGGATGCATGGAGGAGGCAACTAATCGATGCATCGATGCTTCTTTCTCTCTCTCTCTCTCTCTAGGGTTTGATTTCGGTCAAGGGCATGTACCTAGGTTGTGGGTTTGATCCCTGGCCCCGGTTATTAATGTTTCTCTCTCTCTCTCTCTTTCTCCCCCTCTTCTCTCCCTTCCACTCTCTCTGGAAATCAGTGGAAAAAATATTCTTGGGTGAGGATTTTTAAAAAAATCAGTAAGAATTCTAAACCATGTTTGTTTAAAAATTTCCCGATTAAATGAGAAAGGTCCAATTTATTTCCACATTGTGAAAAAGAATGTCTTCGTTATCAGCAGAGCTTCTTGGGATCATTATTATGATGACATTGCTGTTGCTGCTGGTAAGTATAAACTTGAAGAGTGTTAATATATTTAAAAAGTTTTCTTCATTTAACCTCTGTTGATTTTTTAAAAATATATATTTTTTGTTGATTTCAGAGGAAGGGAGAGGGAGAGAGAGAGAGAAACATCTGTGATGAAAGAGAATCATTGATCAGCTGCCTCCTGCATGCCCCCCCACTGGGGGGTTGAGCCTGCAACCTAGGCATGTGCCTTGACTGGGAATTGAACTGTAACCTCCTGGTTCAGAGGTCAACACTCAACCACTGAGCCACGTCAGCCGGGCTGTTGCTTATTTTAGCCTAAGAAGATTTTCTTACAATTGAGATAAGTCTCAAAAAGAACTAGTTCTATAATTCTCACTTTAAGGAAAGGTGGAATATATACATATTAAAATATAATAGATTGGCTCTTCCCTTTTACTAGAGAAAGACCAATATTTGTCATATGACTAATTCTTTCCTAAAAATAAATCACTTTGGGTTTAGGAATATAGTTATGGTAATATAACTGGAAGAACATGTTAGTGTTACTTACCTAACTGTTGTTTGAATAATCTTTAAATTTTTAAAAACTATACTAGAAACCTCATAACTATAGTCAATGAAATTAAAAGGGAATATTTTATCTATATTCCCCAATCAATCGTTACAAGTTTTCTTTATATAATTTCTTTATTTTATATTCCTACAGTTACCATTTTCATCCTATTTTCTCTATTTAAAATATCCTGAACACTTCTTTACTATAAATCTTTCCTGATTTTCAGTTATAAATTCATTTTTTAAATTTGTAACACTTTTTTAATGCAGAAATCCATAATTGTTGAGCAAGTTAAGCAAAGCAGCAGACAGTGTCTCTTATTGAGTATACCTCAAAAGCAGGCTGTTACTTATTTGTTTTTCCTTTTAGGTTAATTTTAAAGAAATTCTTTTGATGGCATTTAACTTTCTAATAGAAAAGAGAGTTACTTAGGAAAATAAATTTGATCCATGGCTACTGAAAAACTGAGTTGTTTATTTTTATCATGAGAAAGTTTCCACTACTTAATTTAGCTACAAAATGATGTTTAATGAGTATATTGTTAGTTCATTACTAAGCTGTGAGGATAAGATACCATTTTCTAAGTTATTGATTTAGTGTCAGTAAAAGTCTCACTGTTGTGGGCAAAAAAACCCCCCACACCTCTGAGTTTGTGCAGATGTTTTGTTGTGATAGATCTATTATCCAGCTATTAGAAGATAAATGACGGATCTTTCCCATTTTCCATGCCTCAAGAAAATTGAAATAAGAAGGGGAATATCATTTGGGCTGTATGATTAGGGCAGGTTGGATGGCCATTAATTTAAGAGAAGAAAATCTTGGCAGCATTGGCCAGCTTATACCATATTATCAATCAAACCTTGATGCACTTCTTGTGATGACCCAGCACTCTCAGGTTTTTGCAACGTTAATTAGAATTCATGACAAAATAGATGCAAGGAAACGTTTTGTACCCTTCATAATTTTATAGAAAATTTATTGTTATTAGTGGAACCATTTGCTTAGTGTGATTTTTTTCATTACCAGCTTGTCAACTAGCATAGATAATCTGGAGAAAATATGAACTCCATAGATGGGGTGTCACTTTTGTTGATGGTTCATGTAGTTTACCTTGGAGCACAGCTAATGGCTGAAGTTCATAGCAACAGCACAGAAAAACGTGGCAACCAAGGGAAGATAAATGAACCATGTTTATTGCTTTAATATAAAAAATACATAAATGGAAAACTGCATTTGAATTTGATGAGCTCATTGCTAGTTTTGTTGGAGTGATTTATTCTTCTCCTTATATAAACAGCTACTATTGACACAGTAGGATAGAAAGTAACTGTCTTTTTTTGGGAAACTAATATTTTTGGTTTTAAAATCTGAGTAGATCATTTTATTTTAATTCTGGGAGTTTTATAGAGTATTGAACATTTAACAGACCCTAATTATCAATTCTTCTGGCAGTGTTTTAACGTAGGGTAAGTTTGTTAAAACTATACAATGAAATATCTAAGATAGCCAGTTTTATTTTGCAAAGGTATTTTTTTTACATCCTTCCTAATTATTTATCTGTTTCCTTAAACTTTATTTGTACTTAAGGAATTATTTTCTTTCATTTTTCATCTTCTTTGTTAGTACTTAAGAATTATTTTGTATCTATAGCTCTTGGTTTAATAGATTTAATACCTATTAATTTAATATCTTGGTAGCTGATTTTTCTTTTAGTTATTTGGTATCTACCAAACAATTTGAAAAAACAAAACAAAAAACCTCTAGGCTTAGGCAAAATAAATTGATTTTACACAGTTCTTCAATTTAAACTTTGTTGAATTATTATTTCAATTCCATGGATTATTTTATTCTAAGTGGTATTATTTATTTTTGTACTTGAACACCTTTTACCAATTGATACATATATGCCTATGTATGAAACATATATAAATATAGATATATTTCACAATTACTAAGTCATTCTATAGTTTGATGCTATAAACTTATTTGCTTTAAGAGATTTTAAAATATTCTGTCCTTTTGAAATACTATTATCACAGAATATAATTTTTAAAGAGCAATTTATGAAAAAGACATCAAAATGTAAAGTTGAAAACAAAATGTAAACTTAACTTCCTTTCCATATCAATAGCAAATAGAAAATTATAAGTGTAATACAGTTTTATATAGTTCACACAAATAGTCAATTCTTTGTTTTTTCAATTGAGGTGCATACATGCTGAGACCAGCAGGCGCCAGTACATGGGCAGGGCTGGAGTCAATAAATGCAGCTTCACGTTTATACTGATTGGTAATTCATAAAATCCCCACAGGACTGGAAACTTGTTTAGCATAATAGCAAGTCTATATTCTGAGCTGTTTTCTTTCAATTGTATTGTTGGTTGCATATTAATAAACTAAATGTCAGCCAAGTAGAGGGACAAACATTAAAAATATGAATATCATTGTATCTAATATTTTTCAAAAAGTACCGTTTCAGTATATTACTTCAGTAAGTTATATTTCTACTTAATTGTGTATTGTAAGTCATTGGGGAAATTTTAGACAGTAAAATGAAGATCCCTAGTGTTCAGAAAGAATATGATATTAATTTATTTTTTCAAGTTGTTTTAAATTGTTGGCTAACCGTATATACACACACACACACACACACACACACACACACACACATATATCAGTGGTACATGTATAGAAGTATTTGTGTATCATATATTTTGCTCAGCTTGTATTTTTATACCAAAGAAATCTTGATTACATCACTTTGCAAAAGCATAAGAATTCCAAAAACAGCATTTATGGTTCATTAATTGGTATCAGAGAAAGCTGCCTTTTGTTGGTAATACATTATTTCAATTTAAGCACATAAGTGATAAAACTGTACTAAAATTTTAGCCTGCGTTTTCTTTGTAAGTAAACTATATTGGTAAAACAGGTGGATTAAAATGTGTAAGATATGAAAGTGCTCTTGTTTGAAAAACATTTATGAGTTTCTCATTCACATTTTAAGATACATTCATTGTGAAATTATTGTCATTCTCATTGTAAACTGATATGAGGTCATGGTTATTGTCTTGATTCTTTTTCTGAATATTGTCATGTACTAAATAGTGAATCTTTAGATTATAATTTAGGTTAGCTTTAAAAATGAAAACATGTGCATGATTGTATTTAATCCATATGTGAACAATTTGTAGAAGTTTAACCTCATGAAATAAAAAATTACCCCAATTTCTAATACTAATATTTCAGAAAATTATTAGTTTTGTAGACATGTTACAACTCTTAAAATTATTCTTTTAGGGAGTGACACTTTAAAATTTGTTATTTAAACATGTGTAATAATTTATTATTGAGTGACTGAATATTTTAAACATTGATTGTCATAATACTGATTGCGCCTTTGTAATGCTTGAGTAGAATCTTTGACGGTGGGAAATCTTTTTTTTTTTTTTAATGAGTTACTATTTCTTTCTATTCCAGCTGGTAGCTGGCAGTGTTGTGATGGCTTTTGAAGAAGTATGCCCAGATAGAATAGACTTGATTCACAAGAATTACCGCAAGCTATGTAATTTACTAGTTGATGTGGAAGAGTGGGGACAGGTTGTCATAATCCACATGCTGACTCGATATGCTCGTACTCAGTTTGTCAGTCCTTGGAAAGAGGTAAGTGTAGAGTAATCTTCCACTTACAATATATACTAAGAAAATGGATGCACTTTAATAATGTGTATGAAAATTAAGAATAGTAAGTTATAGAAATCTGTGTATTTAAGGAGATCTTGTTTTTCTCATGTTCTTTTAGAAAGCAGGAAACCGATATAAATGCAGGGATAATTGGTCATTGTTTTGTCATTACATGATATATATTTAATGGCATAATGTATAAAACTTTAGCTTATTCTGCTTAAAAATTGAAGTATATTTTGAATTATCTTTATATAAAAGTCATGTCACATAGGGCTCTTAAATTGATGCAGTTTTACTAACCATCTGTGCATTTGTTTTATAAAGTTAATTTTATTTATCATTTAGCAAAGTAAACTTTTGATGGCATTTGAGCTGGATTAAGCAACATGTCCATGCTGTAAATGTCTTGGCCCTTTAATGTAAATGGTGACTTTGACAAGAGATTTTTGTTGCTAATAGCTAGTTGTTTAATTTCAGCCAGCACTTTTCCATATTGCTATTCAGATTTTTTTCCCTGTTTTATAGGTAATTTTCTTACCTAGCCACTATCACTATTTAATAAAACTTTTTATTGTACTTTCCTGTAAGCATCAAATTACTTTTAGTAGCTTTATGCAAATGGTCCTTTGCTTTGTCACTATGTAAAAATTGGAGTTAAAATATATACATTCTTTACCATATCTCCTAAAAATATGTCTTTGTAGTTTGTCTATTTATTTATGTTTCTTTAATTTAATTTCATTTTAGATAAAATTCATGTTTGAAGCTATTTGCCAAACAAAGAAGTTAACTTTTATACTACATATTTATTCTTTTGACAGATAATTTAAGAAATTGGTACTATATGCATTCTTTATTTTTACATGTTAATTCTGTGAACCTTAGTTACTAGTATTATTACAAACATGAGATGAAACTCTGGTTATTGTCCTGGTACACTGGAATTGGGCTAAATAATTTCTTATCTTTGCCACTTATTTGCAATCTGACCTAGGCTTTATTCTAAATTATGTGGTTAATGGACTAATTCAGTAGTTTTCAGGTGTGCTCTTCTGCCCTAGGATGATGTGGTACTGCCACTGGACCAACCAAGGGGGTGGTGCTCTAGAGTCTCTACTGTTCCAAACCAAGCAGGCTTCGCCTTTGCCTGCCTTTCAAATGCAGCTTGCATATAATTTCCTTTAGAAAGATTCCTGGGCTAAAAGAAAAGAAAAACCCCCAGTAAAATAGAAAAGGTTTAGCTAACTATAATTGTATATATTCTTAAAAACATAGAAGCAATTCAAGAACATTGTGAAATAAGTGGCATCCTTTTCATAACATCTTGGTAGACCCTTTAGAGCCAATTACTAGCAACCATTTAACTTCATTTGTTCTAGTGGTTATAAATTTTACTTTAGATAACACATTTCACTTTATTAATTTAAAATGATACCAGTTCACCCACAAATAATCAAGATAACAGGCTTGTATCTCTTTGGATACACATATGTTTTGTTTATTACCAGTGGAAAAGATTTGAAAGGTCATCCTTTATGGTATCATTAAAAGTAAGGGATTGTTGCCCAACCATTGTGATTCAGTAGTTGAGTGTCAGACTATGAACCAGGAGGTCAAGGTTCGATTCCCGGTCAGGGCACATACCCTCGGTTGCTGGCTCTATCCCCAGTGTGGAGCATGCAAGGAGGCAATGGATTGATGATTCTCTCCCATCATTGATGTTTTTATCTCTCCCTCTCCCTTTCTCTCTGAAATCAATACATGTGTGTATTGATGTGTGTATTGATTGTCAAAGATGTTAGATTTTTAGTACAAATACATCATACAAAAATAAAGTTCAAATGGATTATCATCATTTCCAGTGGTTCTCAACCTTCCTAATGCTTCGACCCTTTAATACAGTTCCTCATGTGGTGATGCCCAACCATAATATTATTTTTGTTGCTACTTCATAACTGTAATTTTGCTACTGTTATGAATCGTAATGTAAATATCTGATATGCCATATGTGTTTTCCGATGGTCACGACCCACAGGTTGAGAACCACTGATTTAGACCATGTTTATGCTCACTCTTTCACTTAACCCATCTCAGACTTTCTGTGCCTAATTACAGTTCCGTTTTATAGAGAAACTTTTGAGTGAGCAGGCCAGCCACTTTTAGACTTGAAGACTTTTTGGTCTAGACTTTAAGTTGCTTCCAACTTTTTAGGACTCCATATGGTGATTTTAACTTTAAAAGTTGGCAAACTGAATTATAAAGCAATGATTGGTCATACCTGGAAGGAACTGAGAAGTATTTGGGATTTATATCTGCTCTCATTTTTCACTTCTCATGTAAAAAGCATACCATGAAGTAAAGAACTGCTTAAGAATATCCTTTTGTTTACTTTAATAAGTTTCTATGTGTTTTCTTATTATGTTCCAGTCAAAGCTAATATTGAAGTCCCCAATCCATAATACTCAGATCGCAATTAGCTAACAACCATAATTAAATTTGCTTTTCACAAATAGAGGTAATACTTCTCATTGAATTCTTTAAAACAGTGTTTAAAAGAATTGTGTTTATGGGCTTGAAAGGTAGCACAATTCTTTTTTGAGGAATTAAAAATTAGTGGAAATATTTTTTGAGATGAGCTGATGTACATGCATTTGTCAGTAAGTTCTCAGATGAACACATCATATACAAATAGGCTTCTTCAGAGGCAAAAGAGGTTTTTAATTTAGTTTATTTGCATCATTATAGATCAGTATTTAGGCTGTTTATATGTAAATGTATGAATTGAGGAACAATTAAGTGTTGACAAAGTAGATTTCAGTCATATCAATTGCAGTGCATTTTCTATAATTTTTCTAACTGACATCTTTGATGATAAATAGTGGATGCCAAGTCAAAGCCGATTATACAGAGCACTAGGAATTCATGGGACTGTCAGGGAGAAGACCGATTGACTTTAAATTTACATATTAATGAGAAGATTTGTTAAGAGGGTGCTTGACTATAGAAAATAACAGCGTATTTATAGGGCACGACATTTTATAAATAAAGCTGATGCAGGAAAATGGAAATTAAACCTTTTAGGTTAATAAATTCAAGAGTCTGCTAAAATGCATATTTGCATTTTTATTTTCTTAAATTTACCTTACTCTTTGCAGTCCTAGTGGGTTGTTTTTTTATTCTAGGTCAAGTTTGTATAATTTTCAAGGACATAAAATTACTTTAATATTTTCTTTGTGTCATTCAGGCTATTATGGAGAATATTTGAAGCATAAGTATAAATCTCTAAGACTAAAGTTGTTTTTGTAGAAGTAATGGACTTTAAAAAGTGCTATAAAACATCAAGTAAATTTTAAAAGTGATTAAAAAAAACAAGCTTTTAGTGGCATTAATTATAAACTGAAATAAAACTCCGGCATTGAGTCTGACAGGAATGTTTCTAATTTTATTAATCTATCTCATTAAAGTTGAACTTTCTCAAGGAGATGACAGTTTTGTGAGAAATATCAAAATACTTTATTAATTTGGAACTTAAAACTGTATAACTTCACAGTTCTTTTTGCATATGAACCCAAAATATATTTCTGGTGGCAGTATGTATGCCTTTTGAAATTTGGAGTAATTCATCTACATTTATTTCTCTCAATGTTTTAGTACTTCAGTGATAAAACCCTTTGTAGGTGTAAGAAAGTTCCGAGTTTAGAATTTTGTTTAAAGTATTTTTAAAATAAGTTTCTTAAGTTTTTTAGGGATAGGTATAAAATATGAACTCATCAGAACACAAAATTCATATATTGTACATAGTTCTTGATTAGCAGTTCTTTGAAAATACAAAGGCACCTGGAAAGAG